TCGCCTCCAAGGTGCCGCGCATGCAGTGCGCGCGAGTAGCTGCTTGACGAGTCTTCCGAATGCGTGGTGGTCGTTGGAGCATGTCAGGCATCTTTCTCCATGGGCCCACCTAGTTGGGTGGTCGTCTGTTGGGTGGTCTTTTCCCATGTGGACGTAGAATGCGTTGATGTCGGTAAATGTGGCACCACATTCGTAACGCATGATCGTCTTGTCGCTGTGGTTGTCGTCGGTCATGAGTTGTGGGACTGGGTCGTTGTGTTGGCAAGGTCGTAAGCTGTTGTGCCATTGTCGTAGATGCTCTTGATCGCGGGTGTGTCGTATGTGGCGCCGCGTCGCGGTCTTGACTTGTGGCGCTGAGGTATGAGGCGTCTTGCGGATTGCGCTGGGGATGGGGTCGAGGTCCACGGTAGGGTGTAGCTTGCGATCTTCGTCGAGGTATGTCCACATCCACTGTAGATCGTCGCGCACCATATGTTCCCATGATGAGTTTCGGCTGATGTTGGCGCCAACGATTCGCAATGGTATGGTCGGGGCTTGTTGTAGTAGCCTCGGTAGATATCGCAGCCTGAAGGTGCGCATGGCGATGTGCGCGTCTGGTCGGCTGACTTCGATAAGTACTCTGCTGTTGCTTATCTTCTGGCGGTCGTGGCTGTTGGCCCTGTGTCCAGCTGTCATCCTGTTTCCTTTCAGGTATCCGGCCTCGATGCTATGGGGCTGCCCCTGGTTGAGGAGGTTCCAGGTGCGTGAACTGTAGAAGAGGACCGAGTGGGTGAGCGCGTCGTTGAGGAGGGTCTCGCTGTCGATACTCAGCTGTTTTCGCTTGTAGATTTCTTTTCGTAATGAGGCTCTACTTGTTGTGGCCTTTGAGATTATCCGCTGTATCTCTGGTCATTGCCCTCCGTCGTAAATTGCGAAACCCAGCGGTTACTGGCGGTTGACGAACTCAATTGGCTCGCTGGGGTGCTGGTTCTCTATGTTCGAGATGTTGTGTCTGGCGGGTTGCTCCTTGGCTGTTCTACTCTGGTGCCCGTGCAGGAGCAACGCAGTCTTGGTCTTTTTGGCGTGGAGTCGCATGCCATGGGCCATTGCCCATTTGACTATGATGTTGGAGAGCGTCTTGGCCGCGTTGATGATGTCAGGTGCCGCTCTGTGTCGCACGCGGGCGTGGGCGTTCATGCCGTCTACGAAGGGGGTGTCGATAAGCTGTGCCCCTCCATCCCCACCGACTCTTGCATGTCTGTCCTTGGAGAAGATGGCTTCCTGGCGTCCTATGTCGGCGTCGATGTGAAAATTGCTGTCGGGCATGTCCTCTGCAATATGTCGCGTGACCTTTGCGAGGAGGTAGTTGAAGGTGAGGTCTGATGCTGGTGCTCCAGGACGCGTGCCAGTACGTGGCTGCGCCATCCTGGTGGGTCCTTTGGTAGTGGCCCACATGTCTGTGTGCGCGTCTTGTAGTAGCGCGCAGCATTGCTCATCGCCCGAACATGGGCGCTCCGCTCATGGCCAAGTGTAGCGCAGGAAACAATGGCCCGAATATGTTGATGTCGTGTAGCAAGTCGTTGGGCTCCTCTGGTGTATGTAGGAGCTGGGAGACAAAATGTAGTGCTACGCTGTAAAAGGCGCCCTTGGTGTCCAAGAAAAGTATCATGGCTGCTCCTCCTCTCTCTCTCTCTCTCTGAGGTGTTCCATGACGCCGCGGGTCGTATGCGCGACGAAATATGTGGACTGATGTGGTCGTGCTTCACATTGTGCGTCTCGCAGTAGTTGCGCCGCAATGCTTTTGAATATGGTGCGTATGATGCGGTGGTGGCGCTTAGCTATAATGTTGCTGAGTAGTGCCATCCTTCTCGCTTGAAAGCCAGGTTCGGTAGCATTGGGCTTGGAGAGAGACGTTTGCCATCCACATTTGCGGGATAGTGGTTCCACAGTCGCCATCTGCGCCTTTACCAGGAGTGGGCGGTAGATCCTGGTCGTCTCGTTCGGCGCGATCTTGCAGTAGTCGCCGATGAGATTGTCAGGGCCTCCGCTCCGTCCTTGCTCTGCCTGTGTGAACTGTCGCTTCGTCTCTTCTTTGGTGAAAATGTCGTGGGGCGGTGTACCGTCGAGCGTTCGGATTGTGGCTGCGTGGGTGCCGCGGTTGTTGTACTTGTCGTCAATCTCCTGCGGGCCCATGATCTTCGAGTGCCCCGCAATGGCGAAGTGGTCCAATTCTGCTTCCGCCTGCTGCAGTTGATCACGTAGGGGTTGTCCGTCAGGGCCAATGACGTGTAGGCGTTCAGCTGTGATGCGTCCAGGAGCCTCTTGATGTCAGCCCATGCTCTTCTGGGGTCGTCCTTTGCGCTGGTGGCGATGCTCTCGGGGTGGTTGGAGCGGTCGGTCCCGGTGGCGCTTGCAAGATGTGGTGATGATCCACGTAGGGATGCAATTGCCGCCAATGCTAGTTCCTCGAGCTGTGGGTGGTTACGTACGATGTCTTCAGCTACTCGTTGAAGTGCAAGTATGGTTTCTGGGTTTGTTCACACTTGTCAACATTACTCACATCTCTCTCCGAGACCGTTGACATTTACACAACTCTCAATTTCGCGCGTTTGCTTCCACCTCACTCGCGTTTCGTTGTCCATCCGCAGTCTCGGATTCGTTCGTATGTCCTATGTGCTGTTTCGATGGGAACTTCCTCAGTGTTCTAAAATGGTTTTCCCGGAACGGCTTTGGCCAACATTCTAGATCGTCGCCTCGCTCCTGTCGTTCAGGATTGTGATCTCGCTTCAGCCCGGGCCACATTTCTGGATCCGGTTCCTTCCTCGATCTGCCGCGTCAACTTCTGGTCCTTCGCTTCCTCCTTGAACAAGGACCTTCCTTCCGATTGCGCATCACGGCCCGACAGGGCAGCTATGGGGAGCACACCCTCGGGATGTGACGCAGTGGAACGCAATTGGAGGACGGAGCAGAATGGCCGATGTGGCGCGAGCGCACTTCGCTTGACCTGACGAGTCCAGTTGCGCTGCCGCGCGATCCCGCCACCGCGCTCGGGCGGGCGGGGGGTGGGCAAGCGCCTTGTCCTTCCCTCCCTCCCTCCTTCCCTCCCTCCCTCCTCCCTCCTCCCTCCTCCCTCCTCCCTCCTCCCTCCCTCCTCCCTCCTCCCTCCTCCCTCCTCCCTCCTCCTCCCTATTTTGTATTTGGGTATTTGGGGACAAAGTTATGCCTGGGAGGGTAAACACGCAGGGGCTGGGCCACAGGAGGGAACGCACCTTGGGCTCGATGCGTCGGGGGCCCGACTATAGTTGCTTCGCCAGTGGCGAGAGGTCCCGACGCACAGCAACCGCTGCGAAGCGCGGTGGCGGGTCTTCCCCTCTCCAATGACCACGTGCAGCCGCACCACCGCCTCTACTGCGTGCTATCTTCCAAAACCTTGCACTAAATTCTTTGGTAGTTCCCATCGTTGAGTTGTGACCGGGCCCTTCTCCCTCGTTCTAGAATGTTGTTCTCGCTGCATCGTTGGCCGTATTTCAGGATCGGTACCTTGCTCCCTTCGTTCAGAGCGACGCTCTCTCCCTTGCGCGGGCCACAATTCTGAATCCGAATCCTTCCTCGTCGTTGTCGTCCTCCTTCTTGACCCCCCTCCACATTCCCCTGCGCCTCCTGCTCCTCCTGACCGTGCTCCTCCTGCTGCTACTGTTTCTCCTGCGTATCCGCTTTGTCCTTCTTCGTCCGCATCCTCCCCATCTTCCTCCTCTTCCTCCGTCTCCCCCTTCTCTTCATCTCCCTCTTCCTACTCCTGCTCGTCCGCGTCCTCTCCCTCCCCTTCCAGTGGAACAGACGACACCTGTGCGGTTGCGCAGCGACGGAGGGGCCATCCGTGTCGTCCAAGCCCAGGTAGCTAGCCGCGCAGGATGGAACGGCCCGCGCGCGCGTGCACGAGCCGTGTTTGCACATTCGCGGCTTGGGGTGCACGGCCGTGCGCGCACACGTGCCGGAGCGGCGTGCGACTCCTGACCTGGCAAGGGCAGCAGCGTAGATCCGGGGCAACGATGGGTGAGGATAGGCATGGGGGGGCACGCATCGACCCCCAATCGCCCATTGATCGCCGATACGGGCCCGATACTCCCAACCTGCACACAAAGGTGCGGATTCACTATCGGGGGCGTATCGCCGACCTATCGGCGAGGTATCGCTGATTCCAGGTCGATGCATCCCTCCCTACAGTCAACTTGCATAGTAAGGATAGGCAACCTTTCCAAGGGTGCCCTTGCATCCTGGCCCCTTCGGCCCATCCTGAGTGACTTTCGCTGGCCAGCATCGCTTGACAAACGTTCGCATGACCCTCCAAGGCCCTTGCATCCTTATCGCGCATCCTTATCATACGGGTTGACTGTATACCAGTCCCCCCCCTCTCGTTGCCCCTCAGTAGACGTGGACGCCTCCATCTCGCGCCTCGGCACGGGCTGTAGCTCGGGGAAGGCGCTGCGGCCGGCTGGGCCCGATGCCGCACGAGTCGGCGGGGCCTGCTCCCGCTGCGGTGCGCTTGTAGTCTTGACTATTCTGGGGAATCTTGCGACCACCATTGGGAGAGTAAGGTCCTCTGGGACATCCGGTCGGCGGGCAGCAAATAATCCAGCGTAGCGGGAAGGAAAATGTGAGAGGGGCAGAATGTCAGATGTGGCGCGAGCGTATATGGCTTGGCCCTTTCCCCCTATCCCCTTCTCCGTGTCCCCCTCCCTCTACCCTCTTCCCCCTCCTGTGCTCTCCTGCCTCCTTCTCTTGGTCCTCTTCCCCGCTCTTCCTCGTCCCATTCCAGAGGTGGTGTGGGGGGGCGGGGGGTGGGGGCGGGCATCTCATTCGGAAGAAGGTTCCCTTCACCTCTTGGGAGGAGGCGTCCTCTGGGGAGGGCGGCTTCTCCCCAGAGCGTGCTGCTCGCGAATCTTCTGGGCAGCGCGCAGCCTCCTTCCTCGCTCGTGCCCCTTCCTCCTTCCCACTCGCATCCCTCTGACCTGCCCGCCCAGGGAGAGGGCGAAGCCGAATTGGAGAAGGAGTGCGACCCAGAAGAGGAAGAGGAGAAAGAGCAACAGTCACCTGAAGAGCAGTGAGGCGGCGCCGAGGTGTTCCTAGGGTTGCCGCGCTGCTGCGACCCTGTTTCAGTGATCTTCCATCATTATGTCCCGCTGAAAACAGTTGATCCGACAGCCAGCTTCTAAACCCCCGGCAGGCGTAGAGCGCCCAGGGATCGACAGCGAGGTCTCCCAAGTACAACGCTATACTGCCAATGGTGCGCTCTTGCTGGATGTGCATGTTCCCTTATGGATCGTTCTGGTTACTTCTTGTTTTCGGCTGCGGACCATGTCCACCCCACGGCCATTTGGGAATTTCTCCGAGCTAGTCCTTGGGTTCACCGCTCTCATCTATTTTCATCTCCACTATTTGGAAACCAGCAACCGTGTGAGCAAATTGCTCGAGGAGGAGGGCCACTGTGCGATCCACAGCAGTGGACTCTTTGCGTTTTGATCTTGCCGTTGGTGCCAAGCTACCCAGGCCGTCTAATACATTCGGATGCGTCAAGGCGTCGAGCCCCTGGATCCACAGCACATCTCTCGGTGCAACCTCCATGCGAAGGGTGGAGCCGACAGCCTCCAGGAACCTTTGAGGGCAGACGCATTTGTTAGGACTGAGTGGTTCCCACGGCGTCGGGGATCAGGGGCGACGTCGTCCCGGCTGGAACTTCCCGTAATTGCGCCTGCAGCCACGCAGCCATGCGTGCATGCATACATCTGTTCAGTATCGGGTGCACGCGCGCAAGAACACGTGCGCAGTGCAAGTTGACCTGCGGATGAAGTTGCACGTGTTTATGCGAGGAACCGTGCATGCATGCGGAAGCACACGCGCACTGACGTGTATTTCCCACATCTCCTCGTACCCCTCGAGCGGTTCCCGAACGCCTGGTCCGTAAATTTTGGTCCTCGGGGCCTCGCATGGAGTTCTCTTGTCCTAAGGCCACATATCATATCGGACCACTGCTGCTGTTCAGCTCTGCTCCTTCCCTCCTCCTCCCTCCTCCTCCTCCTCCTCCTCCTCCTCCTCCTCCTCCTCCTCCTCCTCCTCCTCCTCCTCTTTCTTTCCTCTTCCTCCCTCCTCCTCCCTCCTCCTCCTCCTCTCCTCCTCCTCCTCCTCCTCCTCCTCCTCCTCCTCCTCCTCCTCCTCCCAGCCGGCAGTGCCACGAGCATCTGCTGCGCGTCGTGCCTCGCTCGCTGCGCGCCCCCCCCCCCACCACCACCCCTAAGTCGCAGCGATGCACCTCCCTCCTCGGCCGGCGGGGGCGGCGGCAGCTAGGGGGGGGGGGACGGGCCAGCGCAGCGGCGCGCGTACGTTCCGCCCGCTCCCGGCCGCCCTATGCGCCCGCCTGGGCGGCGAGGGCGCCGCCCCAGACCCCCTCGGGCAATGAAACAGTCGTGTCGGGAGGTTTCGCCGAATTAATTCTCGACCTCTGGAGGCCCTTGCCGGCCCTCGGGGCCGTCAAGGCATGCCTCGGGATGGAAGGCCAGTCCAGGGGAAGGGGTCGAGGCCTCTGAGGATCGACGTTCTGAACAAAATCATGGCGTCGGGGGCTCTGGGGCCGCCGCTCGCGCGCGAGCGCGAGGGCCCCGCGCCCGCTCCGCGGGCGTGGCGCGGGCGGCGGCGCGGAGCGCACGGCGCTCGTGGACCGTCGCTCGTCGGCCGGCGGCGACGGCCGACGACGTCCGTCGACGGCCGCGCGGGCTCGAGCACCGCCCATGCCAGCGGCGTGGCGCGGCGGGCTGCCTCCGGGACGGCGGCGCCGCGGCCGCCCGCTCGCCGGGGGGGCCTCCCCGGGGCCGCTGCGAGGGCAGGCCGGTGCTGAGGCCGCCGACGGCCGACGTCGCTGACGACGCCGGTAGCGACGACGACTCCGACGCCGACGACGTGTCGTTGGGGCCGCCACGGTCGTCGGTCGTCGTCGTGGTCGTCGTCGTCGTTCTCGTCGTCGCCGTCGTCGTCGTCGTCGTCGTTCTCGTTCTCGTCGTCCTGTCCCTCCCTTTCCTGTCTTTTACCCTCCCTCCCCCTCCTGCTCATTCCTCTTCTCGCCTTCCTCGTCCTGCTGCTGCCCCTCCTTCTCCCCCTCGTGTTCCTCCACCTCATCTTCCACCTCCTGCAGCACGCACCCCCCCCCCACCACAACAAACATCCCGTGTCTTCACCATACGGGCCCCCCTCGTCGCACCACCAGACGTGTCGATAACGGGCGGGCTCGCCTCACCAGATATGACAGTGGCGCTTGAAAGTTCCAACGGCTACACGGATGGAGGGCGGATAGTTTTCAAACATTGGTTCTCCCTTTTCAGGGTTGCGCGCGTTCGGTTTAGCAGGGACAGCTCCACGGATACAAGGAAGGTAATTAGTTCCAAAAGGTTGCTCTCGCTTTGGCGCCGCGCGCATTATGCCAAGTAGGTTCCAGCAGTGACACGGTGGGTACTTGCCCTCTCGAAGTGCACCATATGCGGCGCAATGCTTGGAATGCAACTTTTGTGACTCCAACTGTGCGGCGCAAATAATGTAATAATAAGATCAAACAGATGCGGCGCAAGGTATGTTGTGCAATATACGGCATGTAATTCGTTCTGAGAAACGTGAAGTCGTCAAATCCGATACTCGAGCAAGCACCTGACCAACCCGCCGCAGTGCGTTGGTAAAACCCATCAGGCGCAATGA